ACTAGCCAAAAGCAATCAAAGCTCAACTTCAACAGAAGACACAACACAAGGAACACCTCTGGTACACACACACAGGAGAATAGGGAGACTGAGTAATTCAAATATAAAAGACACATACCACATGAGTCCATTCAGAAAAGACTGAGAGACCTAGAGGATCTACCTATTACATCGAAGCAAGCACAAAGAGTAAGCCAGAATGGGAAAACAAAGAAACACATCCCAAATAAAAGAACAGAAGAAACCTGAATCAATGGAACTAGAGGAAATAGAGGTAAGCAAACTATCGGAGACAGAGTTCACAACACTGATTATTAGAATGTTCCAGGAAATGAATGAGAATATAAAGGATAGAGAAATCATGAAAAACAACCAGCTAGAACTAAACAATTACTGAATTAAATAACAAACTCAATGGAATTACTAGCATTGAATGAAGCAGAAGATCGAATCAGTGACTTAGAAGACAAGATAGCAGAGATCATCCAAGTGAAACAACAAAAAGAAAAAAGAATAAAAAACATTGAAAACAGTTTAAGAGATCTGGGTGACAACATCAAGCGCAACAACATGCGCATCATAGGAATACCAGAAGGAGAAGAGAGGGAGCAAGGGATCAAGAACATATTTGAAGTAATAATGACTGAAACTTGCCTAACCTGGCAAAGGAAATCAACATTCAAGCCCAGGAAGTGCAGAGAGTTCCAAACAAGGTGAACCCAAACAGGTCCCCACCAAGACACATTATAGTAAAAATGACAAGGGTCAAAGACAAAGACAAAATCCTAAAAGCAGCAAGGGACAGGCAGCAAGTTACTTACAAGGACACCCCCATAAGAATATTAGCTGACTTTTCTACAGAAACTTGGCAGGCCAGAAGGGAGTGGCAGGAGGTTTTCAAAGTGATGAAAAACAAAGGCCTACAACTTAGATTGCTTTATTCGGCAAGGTTGTCATCTAAAATTGAAGGAGAGATAAACAGCTTCCCAGGAAAGAATAAGCTAACAGAATTCATTACCACCAAGCCAGCATCACTGGAAATGTTAAAAGGGCTTCTTTAAGCAAAAGAAAGAGAAAAACAACCTAACTAAGGAAGACTAGGAACATAAATAACAAAATGGCAAAAACTAGGCACCTATTAATAATCACATTAAATGTAAATGGATTAAATGCTCCAATCAAAAGACATAGGGTGGCTGAATGGATAAGAAAGCAAGGCCCTTGCATATGCTGTATAAAAGAGACTCGCCTCAGATCAAAAGACACATACAGACTGAAAGTAAAGGGATGGAGTAAAATATTTCATGCAAATGGAAGTGAGAAAAAAGCTGGAGTAGTGATACTTATATCACGTAAAATGGACTTTAAATTGAAGAATATAATAAAGGACAAAGAAGGGCACTTCATAATAATAAAGGGATCAATCCAGCAAGAGACATAACCCTAGTAAACATCTATTCACCTAACATAGGATCCCCTAAATATATAAAACAGATATTGACAGACATAAAGACGAAGATCAACAGTAACACTATCATAGTAGCGGACTTCAACACCCCGCTGTCACCAATGGACAGATCCTCCAGACAGAAAATCAATGTGGAAACAGCGACCTTAAATGACACATTAGACCAGCTGGACTTAACTGATATTTTCAGAGCATTTCACCCCAAAACTACAGAATACAGATTCTTCTCAAATGTACATGGAACATTTTCNGAAGGAAGGAAGGAAGGAAGGAAGGAAGGAAGGAAAGAAAGAAAGAAGGAAAGAAAGAAGGAAAGAAAGAAAGAAAAAGAAACCCTGTCAGAATAAGAATAACAGAACCCACTGCCCACGCCAGGTGTTTGCAGCTGGAGGACCAGCTAGCTGAGCATTTTATCTTTCTTCTCTGTAATCAAGAGGCTGTTGGCATCCCTCCCAACTGCGATTTCTGAGTGTTACTGCATTAGGAGCAGGACCACTGTTGTCTGGGGGCCCCCACTTACCCTGGTAAAGGTCCGGAAGGCCTGGAGGATGGGTCTGTAGCCTGTGCAGCGGCACAGGTTTCCTGTAGGCCAAGAAAAAAGCTTCAATGTCTGTGCTGGTGCCAAGGGCAGGTGAGGGGTTTATGGCTTTGCTCCCGGCTCAGTCAGATGCTCTCTTTGCATTCTGTGTTTTCTCTGCCTGGAAGGCCCCCCCTTCTCCTTGTACTGCTGACTTAAAAACACCTATCACTTCTCCCAGAAAGCATTCTGAGGATGCGCAGATGGATTCAGGTCCCCTCTTAAGTGCTCCCACGGTACCTAGTCAGTTTTCTGAGTGAGATTATCAAACTACATTATAAACTCCCTTCTTCAGAGTGGGAACTCCGTGAGAGTAGGTGTTGTGTGTTTCACCCCTCTTTCCCTTGTGCCCTACATAATGCATGGCCTATAACAGGACTCAACATAACTGAATCAATGATGGACTGAAATGGTGAATGGATGGGCAGCTTCTCTATTCAATTCAGAGGAGCAAACACCTGGACCAGGCTCTGGGGCCCATTCACAGAGGCAAAGTGGGACGCCACGCCTGCCCAAGGCTCAGAATCATAGCCGCCTCCCTCATATGTGGCCTTTGCCTTCAGAATCCTATTCTGATGAAAGCTGAGACAGAAGGAAGCAAGATCGCAAGCCT